CTGTCAACCAGGACAGCAACATACTGTGTTTGCTGAGCATTGTGGTGTCATCATGCCCTGCTAAGATGTAAAATGCCCTATCAAAAATTCAACATGTTCCACGTGCCTATTATTTCTCAACTTCGCATGACGAAAGGTCAGGTTCCTTCTAGGAACACTAAGTGCTATCACTAGACTTCATAGTTAGATTTTAAAATGTGAAATTCACCTTTTTTTGACAGGGGAATATACTAAAATAAAGATTCAAGAATTGCCAATTCGAGGAAATAGCGTTTAATGTGGAAAATTGTGTATGAGTGTTTTCGTATTAAAAACATGTTAAAGGTCTTTTTCTTACACTTAAAAAAAGATCCTCGTAAAGCATCATAGTCAAAATCCAGAAATTCAACACAAAGACAGAATCTCAAAAGCTATTAAAGAAAAGTAAAAAAAAAAAAGTCATTTATAAAGGTAAACCCATCAGGATTACAGCATACTTTTCAACACAAACTTTAATGGCCAGGAGAGCTTGGAGTGAAGTGTGTGAACCCCCCAAAGTAAATAACTTTCAACCCAGACTAATATATGCTGCAAAACTTTTTCCTTAAAATCAATGGACAAATAAGGACATTTTATGACAAAGAGCATCTTAGGAAATTCATGCCCACCAAACTAGCACTCCAAAAAATACTCAGGAATATCCTAGACTAGACAATGAAGCCAACACAGCTAAAGTCTTATGGAATGAATACATCAAGCAGGGTGAGCAGTTAAACAAAAAGAGAAAAATAGAGGCATCAACAACTGAAAATTAGCACAGTGACAGGAATAAGTAAACACTTTTCAAAAATAACTCTTAAAGCAAATGGCCTCAATTTCCCACTAAAAGATACAGATTAGCCAATTGGATCAAGAAAACATACTGAATGGTTTTCTGCATACAAGAGACTCACCTAACCCAAAAAAGAAATTCGTAGACTAAAAAAAAAAAAAAGCCAAAGGGTATAAAACAGTACTCCATGCATCAGGATCCCCAAAACAAGCAGGGATAGCAATTTTATTCTTAGACAAAGTACACTTCAAGCTAAAACTGTTCAGACAAGGCAAACAAGGTCACTATATATTAAGAGATCAATTCAACAGGAAGGGATAACAGTTTTAATATATATATGCACTTAATGCCTAGGCACCTAACTTCATAAAATGAACACTGTTGGACATAAAAGATCAAATAGACACAGACACACAATCACAGTGGGGCATCTCGATATTCCACTTTTATAAATAGATCAATTAAGCAAGAATTAACAAATATCACAGGTGAATCTCACTTTCAAACAAATGGACTTAATAGACACTAGTAGTGGTCTACCCTACAATAGTAGATCCATTCTTTTCAGTAGCACCCAGAACATTCTCCAAAATCAACTATGTGTTGGTCCACAAAACCTGTTTAAATAAATATAAAATAGTAAAAATCATGCAGTGTATACTATCAGTTCATAGTGCACTGAAACTAGAAATCAATCATAAAAGAAAAAGAAATTTTACAAACACCTGAATATTAAACAATACATTTCTGACCACTCAATGGGTCATAGCAGGAATCAAGGAAGAAATTAGACAGTTCCTAGAATTCAATGATAATGCCAATACAACATACTAGAACCCATGGAACACAATGAAAAGGGATGTTGATTGCTGTGAATGTTCATGTTAGAAAAACAGCGAGCAAATAAATAACAAATAAATAACCCAACATACACCCCAAGATACTAGAAAATAACAAACAATCCAAACAGAAACCTAGTACATGGAAGGAAATCATAAAGATCAGAGCAGAAGTCAATGAAATTGAGACAAAAGCCCAAAAACCCAACCAACAAACAATTACCCCCACAAACAACACAAAGAATCAAGGAATCAAACATTTGACTCTTTGAAAGAATAAACAAAATAGACAAATCTGTAGCCAAGCTTGCCAAAAGAAGAAAAGAGCCATATCAATACAATTATAAAGAAAGATGGTAAAATCACAATGCTGAAATTCAGAAGACATTAGTAACTACTATGAAATAAAACTGTATTCAAACTAATCAGAAAATCTTGAAGAAATGGAGAGATTCCTAGACATATTTGAATGACCAAAACTGAACCAAAAAGACATAAAAACTCTGAACTATGCAATAACAGGCAATGAAATTGAGACAGTAATAAAAATCCTATGAATTAAGAAAATCCCTGTTGGACTCACTGCTGAGTCTTATCAGAACTTCAGGGAGGATATAATGCCAATACTCCCAAAACTTTTTAGTAAAACTGAAATAGAAGAAATGCTATTTAATTCATTCCTGGGTACTAGCATTACACTGATTTCAAAAAAAGACAAAAACCTAACAAAACAAAACTACAGGCCAATCTCTTTAATGAACATAGACATAAAAATCCTCAACAAGGTATTGGCAAAGAGAATGCAGCAAATCATCAAAAAGATCACACGTCATGGCCAAGTAAGCTTCATCCCAGGGATACAAGGATGATTCAAAATGTGCAAATAAGTGTAACATGCCACACAAGCAGAAGCAAGGGCAAAAATCAAAATCACATAATTATCTTAGTAGACTCAGAAAAACCCTTTGACAGATCCACATTAAATAATGACAAAAATCTTGAAGAAAATAGGTACAGAAAACCTTTTTCTCAATCTGATAAAAGCCATTTATGATGAACTTACTGCCACCATCATGTTAAATGAGGAAAAGCTGAGCAATTTCCTTCTAAACTAGGGATCAAGGCGAAGATTTCAACTCTTACCACTCCTGTTCAATATAGTACTCAAAAACTGAGCCAGAGCAATCAGGCAAGAGAAAAAAATAAAAGAGTTAAGTATAGGAGAGGAAAAGGTCAAATTATCATCATTTGCAGATGACATCATCTTCTACATAGAAGATCCAAAAAAATTCCACCAAAAGACTTCTAGAACTAATAATTCAGAAATTTAGCAGGATACAAAATCAATACACAAAAGTCAATAGTGAATTTACTGAGAAAGAAATTAGGAAAACATCATTCACAATAGTATCAAGAAAAATTAAATACTTAGGAATTAACCTAAACAAGGAAGCGAAAAACTTCTACAGTGAAATCTGTAGTGCTCTGAAAAAGGACATTAAAGAGGACATCAGAAAATGAAAAGAAGGCTGAGCATGGTGGTTCACGCATGTAATCCCAGCATTCAGGAGACTGAGGCAGGAAGATCACTGTGAGTTCAAGGCCAGCCTAGGCTACATAGTGAGTTAAGGCCAGTCTGAGCTACATAGCAAAACCCTCTCTCAACAAAAGGAAAAAAAAAAAAAAAGAAAGAAAGCAAAATGATATGCCCTCTTCTTGGATAGGCAGAGCCAACACTGTCAAAATCATCAAATTATCAAAATTTGTATATAGATTTAATGCACTCCCAATCAAAATACCAAAAGCAGTATACACAGAACTGAAAAGAATTATCCTAATTTTATTTCTATCCAGAAGAGTCTCACAATAGCAAAACAAATTCTGGTTAACAAACAAGGTAAGAAGGCACCACAATCCTGGATTTCAAGTTATACGACAAAGGTACAGTGATAAAAACAGCACAGTACTGGCACTAAAATGGGACATGAGAATCAGGGACACAGAAAAGAAGATGAAGAAACATCTCTAGGCACATTAAGTCATCTGAACTTTGACAAAGGGACCACAGACATATGCTGGAGGAAAGATAGCCTCTTTAACAATTGTTGCTGGGAAAAGTGGTTATACACATGCAGAAGATTGATTCTAGATCCATATCTATCAGCATATATAAAAATGAATCAAAGACATAGATATTAAAACATAAAAAATCTGCTAGGAGATAAAATAGGGAAAACTCTTGAAGACACAGTCACAGGAAAGGGCTTTCTAAACAGAACACCAATTGCATAAGACATAACATCAAGAATCAACAAATAGGACCATATCAAATTTAAAAAGCTTCTGCATAGCAAAGAAAACAATCAACAGAATGAAAAGACAACCTAGAGAGTGGGACAATATTTTTGCCAGCTACTCTTTTAATATCTAGAATTTATAAAGAGCTAAAAAAACCTCTCAAAATGAAAGAACCAATTAAAAAAAATGAGTACCTGAAATGAACAGACACTTCTCAGAAGTAAAAGTGAACAATAAATACACAAAAAGTTCAACATCTGTGGCTACCAGAGAAATGTAAATTAAAACAATATCCAGATTCTATCTTACTCTAGAAAGAATGACTATCATCAAGAAAACAAAAAACAGCAGATGGTAGCAAGGTTGTGAGGAAAAAAGGCATCTTTTTGCATTGTTAGTGGAAATGTAACCTGGACAACCACTTTGGATATCAGTATAGAGATGCCTCAAAAAACTAAAAATTGAAATCCCATTCTACCTCATTATTCCCCTTCTTGATAGTGTATCACAGGAATACATGCATACCCATGTTTATAGCACTACAACCTATAATAGCTAAACCTTGGAAGCTAATGATAACCAAATGAATGAATAAAGAAAATGTGGTATTTACATACAATGAAGTAGAATTCTGCCATAAAGGAGGATAAATTTGTGATAGTGTTTGGATGCACATCCAAAAATGGATGCACCTGGAGACCAAAATGTTATATGAACTAAATTATTTTTTAAGTTTGATGCACAAACTTAAATATTGCGTAACTTGTCTTACATAAAAACCAAAAGTATAAGTAATTTAAAAGTTAAAAGATAGATACAGTGGTAATTTGGTATATCAACTCAATTCTCTCCGTGATTCTGGTTGCAAATTGAACTGGACAAGAACCAAATCAAATGTCCCCAAAAGGTCAACATTGAAACTAACTGTTGAATTTGATCCTGTTCTCATCTAACTGAGACCATAGAACTAGCTGATTAATAAAACATGTATTTTACGTCTTCTACCCCTAGTCTGCATGTAGTGTTTAGATCAATAAAAGTAAATTCCTTACCTGCCTTCGTCAAGTAAACCTTTCCACTTTGGGAAATAAGAGTAATATCTGAAGTATAAAAACAATGATAAGTCCTCCTTATTATATCATCATGAAAGTCACCTATTAATTTAAAATTGTTGCCGCCATCCATGGAAAGCCATACCTGAAGGAATAAAGAGATAATATCTCTCTAAAGAGCTCTTATGGACATTCAGTAATTACTTATCGGTCTAATATTTCTACAGAAGAAAAGTCACATGGAATGATCTTTCTCATTTCCCCACATCTATTAGATACAGCACATATACATGTGCACAGACTCCTTGCCTGCTTGGTCTACCCTCTGTAGTATTTCCATTCTAGAATCCGTTTTAGTGTTTGCGGCCACGTGTTAGGCTTCGCAGTATGCGTGGTGAGTGTATAAATGAACAAAGTTATTTCCACTATTTCCCAAACTGGAGCTTCATTGTTCATAAAAGGATGGAATCTTGGTGATATGGCTTGTGTTTAATGTCCCCCCCAAAAACTCATGTGGTCATAGGTGGGGTTTTTTCAGATGTGGTTGGATATAGAGTGTGTGACACTGGAATTGATTCACAATGCAATGCTAAGATCAAGGGGACTAGGATTAAGGGTGTGAGTGCTACCCTTTCTAAGTAGTCTGGATATGATACAAGGGATAGAAAGAACAGTGGTTCCCTTATTGCTTTGCCACCTTCTGCCTACCATGAACTGTTTCTCTTCTGCGGTGGTTGTCTGCCATGCCACTTTATCTTGGAACCAGCTGACTATGGACTGAAACTTCTCCAAACTGTGAGTCAAATAAACCTTCCCCCTTTTATTTTAAGTGTCAGATATCTCAGCAACAAAAGAAAAGTAACTAAATAGTTTGATATATTTAGTTATGGTGGAGGGAGTTTATACCACATTGACAGAGAAGTTCATATTCTAGGCATCTGGCAATATGGTCTATTTTGGTGAATGTTCCATGTAACTTTGAGAAGGATTTGTATTCTGTTGTTGGATAAAGTAATCTATAAATGTCCATTACGTATGTTGACTGATGGTGTTATTGAATTTAATATATCCTTATTGATTTTCCACCTGCTGTACCTGTCCATTTCTGATAGAGAGGTGTTAATTTTTTCAGATGTAATAATGTCATGTATTTCTTTTTGAAGTTCTGTCAACTTTTGTTTTGAGACAGAGTCTAGCTATGCAGTCCAGGCTGGCCTTGAACTCACTATATAGCTCAGTCTGGCCTTGAACTCACAACAATCCTGTCTCAAAAGCCTCCTGAGTACTGGATCACAAGTGCACACCACCAAACTCTCTCTACTGAATAATTCCCATCAACATACAGAGTAATTATTTCTATATTTCTTAAAAAAAAACCTATTCTCTTGGCCCCTCTCCCCTCTTTAAACATCAGCCCATTTTGCTGCTTCACTCTTCAGCAAAACTTTGTAAAAGGTGTTTGTATTAACTGTGGCTTGATTCTCATCCTATTATTCTCTTGTCAGGCTTTCCACCTCCCTCATCCTCAGAATGACTCTGTTCTTTAATTGGCAGGAAGTGGACAACTTCTGCCTTTACTGCCATGTGAAATTTCATGTGCGTGTACCTGACTGTCATAAGCAACCATAAGTGTTACTCTACTGAAATAGCTGTTTTTAATGTCAACAATGAGCTCCTCAGGACTTTGTTAACAATGGCAGCAGATAAATTCTTATACTTAACAATGTCTTCCACTTAGAAAATAACACAAAAACAATACAAGCAACACAGAATCTCAGACAATAGGAAACTAACAATGGTCATTATATTACATATTGATATCCTCAATTTGGATACTCAGATAAATGTATGTGTATTTGTTAAGATGTTTTCCTTCTTTTATCTTTAAAATAAAAAAAGAAAGAAAACAATCCCCATTTAAAAAAACTCTATGCCTTTGTTGTTCCTCAATAAATCCCTGGGTTTGAGTCAATTCAGAGCTTCACTCCATTTCGGTGAAGACCCCTGGCCTCCCCAGCCAAAATATTCTCTGTCTCTTGCATCTTTGTTTGTCTCTCTAACAGGGGTTGCTGGCCCAAATGTGACATTTATCCACTCCTCAGCTGATGGACATGGGTTGTTTCCGTGTTAGCTATTATGAATAATGCTTCTGTGAACATTCACATGTGTGTGTATAGACATTTGTTTTTATTCTCTTGGCTGTATAACTGCAAGTGGACTGGCTGAGTCATATGATGATTCTATGATTGCCTTTTTGAAATATAGCCAAATTACTTTGTTGGAATTAAAAAAAAATGTCTTCCAGAAACCATCATAGCATCCAGTGGTCAGAATTTAAAAATGTTTGCCTCCTATGTTAAAAGGGCTCTTTGTAAGTCTCAATTGAGTCCACACCCATTTTTTTCTTCTATGCCAAAATTTGTCCCTAGTAAGCCATTTTCAAACCAATGAATATAATTAATAAGACTTCTACTGGTATTACATTAATCACAAATATCTAAACTATTCATAAAAATGCAGGTGGACATTGAAATTAAATAGACTACAAGCCTATTGAAATAGTACACCAAAATAATTTATTCCCAACCTCTGAGCATTCCTATGAGAATGTTTCCTTAGATTTTGTTTTGTAGACATACTTGCCTTCAAAATGTACAAAATATTCTTATTGTAGTTTATGTTCTCATCTAAAGAACATAGCAATATTTTCAACTCTACTAGACTCAGATGTCTTAATTGCTGTTTAGCAGTTTCCACAAAAGTTATTCTCATATCTGAACTCTTCCCATTCAACTGTTAATCTCATTCTTAGCTTTAACCAAAGTTCTGAAGTCTTTTAAATTTAGCTTTATTTATTGCCCACAGTCAAAACACATGAATGAAAAATTTAGATACATAACATATGAGCAGTATTTCTGATCTACATACTTTTTAACCATTAAGTGAAAGAACAGTAATTCCTTGCTTAATCGTTAGTTTTCAACTGATGGGCCCTAAGAATTCCAGAACAGAAGACAACAAAGAAGCCACTTTGAAGAAACAAAAGACAGCAAAATATTAAATAAAGTCATAGAAATCTACTACAGGTGTGGAAATTCAGAGAAAAATACATGAGAAGGAGACTGGGAGAACTGTATGCCTACCAGTGTCATTGATATAGTTGCCTTTTATATATGTAAAGCAACATGGTCACAGAAGAATGTAAATTGCATTCCTTATTGTCATGGTTTATATCTAGATATTATGGCTTTTATCTAGAGGTCCCTCCAAAGCCTCATGCACTCATAGGAGGGGATTTTCAGAGCTGGCTGGATCTAAGGCATGTGATACTGGGATTAAGGGTGCCTGGTACTAAAGTAGTTCACTGACTGGTTTAGCATAGCTCTGGGTGTGGAGAATGGACACTCCACCATGGGTGTGGGTGACACCAGTAAACAGGCTGGTAGCCTGGATGGAGTATAGAGGGAGAGAAGGAAGGCTTGCTTGCTGCTTCACTGCTTCCTGCCTGCTTTGCTGTGGTCTGTTTCTCCTATGCCATGTCTCTCTGCCTTGGAGCCAGCTGACTATGGACTAAAACCTCTACAAACGGAAGCAAAGTAAACTTCTTTTTAAATTGTGGATGTTGGGCATTTTGGCCTCACAGCAAGAGTAGTAACTAAGAAACTCATATAACCAAGACACTTGCAGAAGGAATTAAACTTCAAGGCTGAAGGAGAAATCAGGGGTTCTAAACAGTGAGTATAAAAACTGAAAAAGGTAGGGAGCTTCAGGCAGACCTAGAAAGACAGCATCATCTATATAAAGCTCTAAGTTATGCAAAGAATAGAAACTTTAAACCAAGAAATTAAATATGAGATCAAAATAAAAAGAATTTGTATTCTAGTACAGAATATATTTGCAAATCATAAGAGATAGGCTCAGTTAGAAACCAAAGAGAGGTAAAGAAGAACTGGGCTCAGGACTGTGTTTGAAGAAACAACAGGGGTTAAAGTATTGTAACTTGTTTGGAACAATTTCTGATTGGCTGTTATTTAACCAAGTTGTTTTGAATGAAGTTAGAACAGTGCTGAAGGTTTTCTCAGACACTGAACTGCATATGCTCATTAGATAGAGGGCTATTGCAAGGAGTTATCAGTAAAGAATAAATCTTTTGAGCTAGCAAGTCAGCAAAAGTTGTAGGATTAGAAACTGTCAAAGTCTTCTAAGTAAATTTTATCCTATCCACATGCTTTATTTGGAAATTAAAAACTGAAGAACCTTTGTCTGTAAGGTAAAACTGCAACCTGTGAAGTGAGATCCCTGGGTTCCACAGAAAACTTTGCTCTCTGTCAACCAAACTGCAGCCATCTTAATTTTAATTTCCTTGGGATGTTTGAGGAATATCACTGAGAAACTTGTCCTCTCATTGGAAGTCTTTGCAGTATTCTTTTTCTTTTTTTGTTCAGAAGTTATTTAATGCTTCTTATTTTGTGCTTCTTACTTTTAAACTGCCTGATGGCCCAGATGTGCCATTAGGATTCTTTTATACTACTTTTACGCTACTGATACAGAGCTGACAGGGATGTCAGAGGATGGAGGATGGTACCAGTAGGAACATGAAGAATGACAGAGTCAGAAAGTTGTGCAGGGACAAAGTCAAATAAAGGCTAATGTTAAATAGGGGAAGCACCAGATATAAACACAATTTAAATGGGTTAATGGCAAAGAGCTAGGTCATCCAGAGTTAGGAAGAAATGTATTACAACTGGCCAAGTTTAGAACTGGTGTTGCATGGCTTATTTTTCTAAGACATTGAACTAACTTAAAGGTTAAAAACTGCCATTATCTTCCCTCCCACTTCTATCTCTCAATTATTAGAGAAGCTCTATTGTTTATGTACAACCCCTCAGCAGAGAGTAAGCAGATAATTAACCCCTACCACAGGGTGAAATTTCATGTGTACAGACCTGATTTCCATAAGCATAGAGAAAGTGGCTTCGGGGATGGAACACCATTCCAGTAGGTTTAGAGAAGGAGGAAGGAAAATGGAACAGTGGGAATTTTGGTGTGACATTTGGTTGGTTATCTTTCAAGATGTTCACAGAGGCAGTGACAGTTTTCTTGCGCTGGATAAACAAAACATGGGGAAGTCATGAGAATTTTTCAATTCTTACAAGTCCACGGTACAATGTTTAGACATTCTTGTTACTTGGGTTCTGTTTAAGATAGGGACTCACTTATTAATGTAGCATAGAACTCAGTGGTTGCCAATCACTGATATATCTTTACTCCTCTGCCCCAACCCCTGCTCATTTTATAGACATTGAAGTTTAGCAAACTAAATGATTTTTCCAAAGCTCTACAATAAATGGCATAGAGATTTATTATAGAGTTATTACTGAACTCAGCAGATTCCAATGTTCATGCTCATAATGATCATATTAAAAGTGTGGAGGCTTTAGCTACATCCCAATTTTGTTATGAAGGATCAAGATACAATATCCCCAAATATGCTACTTGGTATAAAGCTGAAGACTTTGAAGATTCAGCTGATGCAGGTAATATTCTTTCTCAGAGCTTGCCTTATCTGGCTAAAAGCAACTTCTGGGAAAAGAGATTATCACAGATTTCTCTTCAGTGCAGATCTCCCAGAAAAGAGAATGCAAATAAAACTACCTTAAATCCCTTCTCCAGGGAAGTATTATGGTCCTGAGGAAAGATACTGTACCCACCTGGGCAAGCATTATCACCTTCCTCTTTTTAGGGACTTAAGAATAGAAAATATAATTCTATGGCAGTGAGTTCCCTTTTTTATTCATTGTAACTAGCATTGAATTTATGGAACCATAAATTTATATGACAAAGTTTCAGTTTACATTCTCCTGGAGAACAACTAGCAAAGAAAAATCGTACAACCAGCATCATGCTTCCCATTTTCATAAAGCTTAGTGACTATCAGAGGTGACAAATCTTTAAGTGGTCAAGTTACATTATTAATCATAAATAATTTGGCTGCAGCCAATTTTATTGGGTTCTATTGCCAAAGAATTTGGAAGTAGTTTTAGCTAAGGTAAATTTGTACTGGTAGAATGTGAATAGAATCAGCTCTCAATTATAAGACCGACCTGGTCAAAGAAAAGGTAAACTCCTGTATCATGCTCTTGGTCAATAAGGAATGTTACTTCACTTGGAAATGTATCTTTTGCATCATCGACAACATGAGGTAAGCAAGGTAACCATTCAAGAAATGGTTCTTTACTATAAAAACAAGAGCTTGCCTAGAAAAAGAGAAATGGAAAGTTAATGTTTTTCAAATATAAGTCCTCATTAGTTACTGCAGGGAAATAAACTAATGAACTATTATGTTATGCTTACTGACCACAAATTATATTTTAATTTTTTTTTTCTGGTACCAGGAATCGAACTCATGACCTTGTGCTTGCCAAGCAGGTGCTGTGCCACTGAGGTAAATCCCCAGCCCCCTATATTTCAAATTTTTAACATCTGTGCCTTTCTTTTGGAGGATAGGAACCCAGAAAACATTGCAAACCATCTATTTCTGGTACGGATGATTTGTCTAGAATCACTGACTAAGTCTAGATTTAACATTGGGTAGCTGCTATTAAACCTAAATAGAGACACCACTGGGAGCTAAGGGTGATTGTTAAGCCTTGCAGTATGTAGAATTGCCCTTTCTAGGTAAATAACAGTCAGTGAAACTGCCTAACAAAATATTTTACCTTTTAAAATATTTGATACTATACCTCACTTAGGGTCTTGTTTCTGTCAAAGGTGATAGTAACATAATCAACTATAAAATATAAAGATAGAGAAATTATAAATGGCATTAATATTTTTAAAACCATAAGTGTGGTTAGTGCTAATAAAATAGTCTCCACAAACACAATAGAGGTTATGTATCATCACTTAATATACACACAAATACACTCTTATACTTATGCATGTAGGTCTATTGTCTCAAATTTAGATTTTTCTCAGTTTAGATAATTAATTTATATGAAACATCTTTACATTTATTTTATTATATGCCACTTAATTGAATCTATATGCTATATATTTTGATAAAGGCCTGCTAATGTATCTTTCTCTAAAATTTACCTTCAAAGTGTTCTCTGTTAGCAAAACATCTTTGGTTAGACCATAATTTTCCTTTGATATAATCAATCTACACAAATAAATAAATGACAGTGTTACTTGGGCAATATGTACGGAGTAAAGCAGAAAAAATTTACTAAACATTCCAATGTTTCATAGTGCAGAGAAGTGAGGCAAATGAATAGAGGAAAACTGTATACAAACAAAAAATGTTATCGAATGAGGACAAGAAAGTATACATTTTGAATAATACGCAAAAAGAAATACAAAGAGAAGAAATTGCACACGAGTGAGCCTTTGTTAATTGATGATGCCTTTATGAATGAGCTGACTTTCTGAAGCTGCCAGAAGCCTGTGGCCTTTCATCACAGTGACTGTGAGTCATATGTTTATCTTTTATTCCTCATTAGTTGCAGCTGGGCTTTGGGAGGCTTCATAAAAGTCTGACAGTAGGAAATAGCAGCAAATAAAGGTATTACAAATTGAGTATAAGAAGTTTCAAAGAAAGTGAGATTATATACGTTGGATATCAAATTTGAGATTTTTTTTTGCCACAGGAAGATTCTGATTTCAAATTATTGTTGAGACATAAGGAAGACTTTCTTACATTTTTATAGACCAATAATAAAGTCTGTATAATTCGTACACAAAAGCCCTTTAAATGTTCCAAAATTGATTGTGATGATGGGTATGCAACTCTATGAATGTACCAAACACCACTGAATCATACATTTAAAAGGACAAAGTTTATGATATGTGAATTATACCTTGATAAAGGTATTAAATAATGAAACAGGATTTTTAAGGTGAAGTAGAAAATAATTTATTTGAATATTGCTATCATTCAGGCTAAGGTGTTATAGCAAATAAAACTTTTGAGTTCTCACGTAAATCTTCAGGCTTACCAGATACCATAATTACCATTATAATGTCTGGACAATTAACAGAATTTTTATTGGGACCTGAACCATTCTTTCTCCTTCTCCTTAGATTCTTGATTTTTTTCTACATGAAATCAAACTGGTAATAGCCTAGTGGTTATCCTTGGGGATAATTTAATTCAGATCAGGCTGACCTCATTCCAAGAGTGAACTTATGACTCAGAGTCACAAATTGGTTAGGAGTGAACACATGATCTGAGTCATGTAAATCAGGATAATAAGCCTTGAGAAGCTGGAATGACTTTATTCCTGTTAAGATGGCTAAACAGGTATACATAAACCTGGTGGATATTCTTACTAATGATTGAAGAAAACTTAATGAATGAAGCTAATATCAAGGAAAAACAGAGCCAAAAGTTGGGAGGGCAGAGTCCTCTAGACATCTGCTAGGCAGTGAATTCAGTCAAGTCTGGAAATCATATTTATCTTCCCAAATTCCCTATTAACATGAGCCAATAACTTCCCCTTTGCTAAAATTAGTTTTAATTTGATATCTGTTATTTGTCTTTAAAAGGTCCTATCTCCATGAAGGAGAGGATCCAACTATATGTTATAAAAGATAAATTTTACTGTTTAATTTTGAGGCATGAAAATGATTTTATGGGGTACGTATAGATTATGAAATGGTTATTATAGTGAGCTTTTCTTTTTTTAAAGAAAAGCATCTATACTGTAACACTGTACCATGTATGGTGCTGAAATTTTTCACATGTAATGTTTTTTAACCACCTCACCTCTAAGAAATACATAACTGTTATGCCACGTTAAAATGAAGAAACTAAGATCCAGAGAATTATATAGCTGGAGATGCAATCAAGCCATTTTTCCTACTGTTCAAATGCAAATCATCTGGCTTCTTTCTGATATTAATATTTGCAGCAACCATCTTCTCCATGGCCCTAACTTTACAGGTGCTTTCTTTCCAATGAAATTGCAAACTTCTCAAATCTTTTAGCTCTGTTTCTCACTGCTGATCTGGCTAAAAGCAGCCAGATTGACAGTTACAGTCTGCTGTCAGTATCTGAAGGGGTTTAGTTCCAGGATACTTAAGTCCCTATAAAATGGTTTAGTACTTCTAATATAATCTATGTGCAGCCTCCTGTATAGTTTAAATTATCTCTAGATCACTTATAGTAGTTAATATAATCTACATGCTATATAGTTGTCATACTGTATTGTTTAATGACAGCAAAAAAGTTTGTATATGTTCAGTACAGATGTAGTTTTTCCACCACTATCTTTAATTTGCCGTTGGTTGAGTCCATAGATGAAAATCTGTAGATAGAAGGACCAACTGTAATTTCCTCTGTTCTTTTAAATGTTAATCAGTTTTGCTAGCTGTTTTTCCAAGTTCTGTTTCACTTTTCTTCCTATTAATATGACAATAAGTCAGTTCTATTTTCTTCCTAGGGAGTAAGTCTCGTTTCTTGCAACCATTGTGAAAATGGGTCTAAGCTCACATGCCCTTGTGTGCGCCCATGACCGAATGGGAGGGACACACCAAAGGCTAGAAGATTGCAATCTTGTTTGTAGTATTCAAATGGGTGTATGTTGATGGCATTGACCTAGCTTCAGCTAGCTTCATCACAAAACTTTACTTTGTGACAGAGAAGTCAGATAACTGATGGAAAAAAAATTCCCCAAAAGTCACAAGCAGAACTATGGCATGATTATATGGCCTTTTTGTTTAAAATAGAAAAAAAGCTCTTTCCCCAGGTGGGCAGACACCAACACTAGAATAGGTAGTTGGGGTGTAATCTATTAGATTCCAGCTTCTGTTTTCTTTAAGCAGGTGCCTTACATACAATATGGTCTGAACAATCATAGCAATCCTATTCAGAAGACAGCAAAGGGGATTGCAGTGGCTTCTGAGACAAGGAGGAGCACTTCTTCCCTGAAACCAATTGCCTAGTCATTGCTGAAGGTGTGTGTGTACTTGTATGTATGTGTATTTTCACAGTGTAAATCACAATAATATTATGGTAACAGGCATACTCTGTATTGGGAATTATTGTCTTGTATCTCATCTTCTCATCCCCCCAGCAAACAAATATATTCTCAGCAGCCCTTGTACAGCTTCTTACCCTTTCAAAACCACAAAATTCTGCCCTGGAAAGCTAGAAGAGAAAAAAAGCAAAAGAAATTTCAATTTTTGCTTTATGTCACAGAAGCTATTTATGGTTAATGATGAGTTAGAAAGTAATTTACATACTTTTAAGTCTTTGGCTGTTGGATAACGAAGATCTCCACTTATAAAAAGACCCAAAGAGGTGAGGAGAACTAAAAAATGATTTGTTAAAACCATATCCGTCACTGATAGTCCCGTGTATTCTAAATTAAGAAATGATACCATGGGTTAAAAAGTTAAAAACTAAGCATTTTAGCTAAGGAAAGACATCTCACAAGTACAGATCAAATGTTAAGATACAAGGAGCGATCAAAATACATAGTGAATGTTTAAATTTTAAAAATGTATTACAAGATGAAGACAATCAGAGGAATTACCTCTTCGAAGGTTTGAATAGATGATATTTGTCATGTTATACCACAGTGTATCATTATAATGCCAAAATCCAGACTTGGTTAGACCTATGTAAACACCTACCAGGAAAGAAAAGGAAAATAAATGATTGGCAACTTTACAGAGCTAATCTTTCATTTGTACAGTGTTGGGCCTTTGGAACAAGAGCATGAATCTGCTCCATCTCTCAACCCACTCTCCTTGCCTTTGTCACTGGAAATGGGGAAAGGACACTGTGATGGCTGATTGTGTCAATTTGAGTAAGAGAAGCTCAATTAAATTGGCTCAGCAATTCCACACACTGGGGAGGCTCATTGCCTGGACGGTATAAAAGGGAAGTGAAGAAGGATGGATCTGCTTCTGTTTCTTTGGAGGAGTTCCAGTCTTTGCCTTCAACTTGGATGTCACTTCCTGGCTTCTGGCACAGCCTCTTCAGCTTCCAGTGCAGATCCTTCAGCCTTCTGGCACAGACTGTTCAGCCTCCCACCACAGACCCATTGGTTTCTTGATATGAACTTGTGTGAGACACTGAAGTGAGCTCCAGAACTTTGACTAAATCTTTCAGTCTCTAGTGTGCAGAGATGCTCTGCACTCTTCCACATCCAACTCTATGGGTGGCCATTGTAGCCCAATGTAAATTCTTCTTTTTTTTCTTGTTTTTTTTTTTTTTTTCCTGGCCTTTTTGAGAAAGGGTCTTGCTATGCAGTTCAGGCTGGTCTTGAGCTCACTTTATAGCCCAGGCTGGTCTCAAACTCACAACGATCCTCCTGCCTCAGCCTCCAAAGTGTTGGGATTATAGGTTTGTGCCAACACGACTGGCTGTAAATTCTTATATATTTGTATATCTTGTGTTATATCTATTTTTCTAGTAAACACTGACTGATACAGACACCAAGATTAGTTTGTGTGAAATATACGTTTCCTAGTTACCTCATTACAACTTATTGTCCCTTAAAGCCAAAATCCCTTTCCTTTGTCAAAATAATATATACACTGCAAGTTTAATCATTAAAATTATGTCTTTTCTATGAATTCCTGTTCAGGTAAATATTAATAAAAATTGTGTGCCTATTCTTCTGTTAGTCAGCTCTTGTTAGTTTAATTTACAAGCTCCCTAATTACTGAGAAAAACTGTGTAGAGGAATTTTTACCTCCCTAACAATATTCCTTTAAACATAAAAATGTTCCTAGTTCAGGAGTACAATTTTAGTCAACAATAGAAGAATCTCAAAGAAGAAATTTAAAATGTAAACTTCAAGAGGGAAGGAACTATGACTTACTTTAATATGTGCAATTAAAAATAGGAAACTTATTTGCAAAAGCCTCATGAGAACCTTTAAAAAAAAAGATTAAACATACTGCAAATACTGAAAGAACTTTATCCCCTGATCCTTGGCCATAGCTGGGATTGTTGAGACTTTAGTATTTTCTTTTCTTTTCAAGAGAAAAAAAATAACAAAATAACAACAATTAAGACAAAAACAAAATAATACAAAAACAATAAAAATGGTACAGGATTTCAAAACAAGATGGTAGGAATTAACAGTGGTTGTTATATTACATATTGTTATCTTCAACAAAGTTGTTCCGATTATCGGATGTAAGCATGCAAAATTGGTTAACAAAAAAAAATTTAAGCATTTCGTATTTTAAACACGGAATGTGAGTGTTATATTTTGTTAACAGGGATAACTACTGAGAAGGAAGATGGCAAAGACACTTGATGTCAGAATGCATATACTTTGTTTCCATAAGATAAATACTAGACAAGTCACATTTTGAAGTACATATTTTAACTCTCAGCTCTTTTCTGTATAAGGAAAAATGTAAAAGGAAATGTTTTTATTGTCTACTTTTTCCAAAAAAAGGAAAGCTTTATCTTTCTAAGCTTTGTTTTTCTAGTTTTACAAATAACTATGGGTGGTTCTAAGTTAGAATAATTACGGATGCCCAGCATATCATGTGATCAGACTCTTGCAAAGCTTAGAAATATTTAATGGCAAAATCAGCAATAAAATAAATATTTTATGCTGGTTAATATTTTCAGGCCAACCTTGATTTACAGGCCACTCACTATTACAAGTATGTAATGTCAAAAATTGTCCAAAATTGTATTCCAAGTTTATAAAAGTTGATGTAGACCATTGTGATTTTTTTTTAACCACTTTGAATTTGACTTTGATTCTAATGGTAAAGAGAAGTTACTGTAAGGTTTGAAGAAGGGAAGCAATGTGATCTAATTTAAATGAGATGTTCTTGCACTTGAGAATATCACTTTGATGTCTGTATGGAGGAAGAGCTGTAGTAGGGCAATAATAGAAACAGGGAGACTACTTAAGAGGCTGTGGAATAGTAACAGACACAATGCTGAGCTGACATAAGATTTACAGAGGGAGAAATGGTGACATTGGGGATTAACTCTGGAAGTAGCATTATTCTTGAATACTGTAGGAGAGCATTGAAGAATGTGTCCTACGTTTTAGTTTGACTAATTGGATGCTATGGAGATACTGAATCCTGGGTAGGAGCAAATTGTAGAAAGTGATTATGCAAGAGCTCTGGATTGCACTTGTTCCATCTGAGATATCCATTAGACCTGCAGAAGAAATGTAAAACAGATCAGCCATATAGTTTTGGGACTTGTTAGCCTGTAGACAGCATTATTACCATAAGATGCAATTTAGTCTTCTAAAGAGAGAATGTGTTTACAAAAGGAAAGAGAATCAAAGACAAAATCCTAAGTTTATCAACATTTAGAGGACACCCAAAGGTATCCTAGAAAACTAAGGAGTGATCAAATAAGGTAAGATAAAAGCCAGTGAAAGTGGTGACAAGAAAGCCAAGAGAAGAAAGTATTTTGAGGAAAGAGCAACAAACTGTTCATGATGCAGAAAGGTAAACAGAAAAAAGTTAAAAGAACTGGCTATTGGAAGTGGAAATTCCATGTGTGATCATGTGTGATCTTGAGAAGAACTGTTCAGGTAGAATGGTGGAATTGATTTGTAGTGGAATGAAGATAAAATGGGAGGTGAAAAATTAGCACCATCTACAATAAACTCCATGAATCTCATTTTGAAGAACAGAGGAATGGAGGATGGGAGTACAATGAGACACATATTTTAAGATGGGGGATATATCGGGGTAGGTTTGTTGATTATAATGTTAACAAATAAGATCTAGTAAGGAGGGAGAGCATGGTGAAAAAGAAGTACGGGGTAGATGCAAGAGTGAAGTTCTCTAGATGCCTGCGAGGAGTGGGATCCAAGACACAAGTGGCAAGGAGTAGCCTTTGAGAGTAGCAGACACACTTCTGATAATGAATGCATGAAGTAAAAAGGCAAATCATGCAATAATGAATGCAGATAGGATGACAATTTGCAGGTACAACAGCAAAAGAGTTCCTTGTGATAAATCTTCCTTGTTCTCTATGAAGTATTAGATAAAGACTAAGAGAGAGCTAAGAGAGAAGGGAAGAAAGTGAAGGAGAGAATTTGAGGAGTGGGAAGAGAAATGATAAATTCATTTTGATGGTGGGAAAATAAATATACCAGGGAAAAATGAAAGGGTATCTAGTCAGTACTGGTCTCCCTTTAAACTCAACACGTATAATCATGAGTTTGAAGGGAGACCAGTTGGTGGAGTTTTAAAGTGAGACTAGTGAGTATTTATTTTCTAGCAATGTTATACTCTTCCAGTTCAGAAGCACAGATGGTCTTTGAATTGATTGTGCAAGGAAGAAAGAGAAGGGCAAAGATATTACAGAACATTTATAAATATGGAGCTTAAAAATTATGGTGAGAGAAGAGGAAAATAAGAATGCTGGATAGTAATAGTACTTGAAATATTAGCCAGAGTAATTGGACAAGAGAAAAATAAAAGGGATACAGATAAGAAAGAAAGAACACAAATTGTCACTATTTGCAATTGACATGATACTTCATATAGAATACCCCCAAAATACCATAAATTCTTAGAATAACCTACTAAAAATAACCAATTTTAGCAAAATAGCAGGATATAAAAACACACATCTCTAGCTTTTGTGTATGCTAACAATGAACGAGATGAGAAGGAAATTATAAAAGCAATATCACTCAGAAAACTGGTTATTTGTTTGTAGAAGAATGAAACTGAACCCTTATCTCTCACCACATAATTAAAATAAAAATGGATCAAAGATCTCAACATTAAAACAGCAGCATTAAAAAATAAAACAGATATGTCAAACCTTCTGGAAGATAAAATGGGTAAAACACTTGCAGACAGGTGTAGGGAAGGATTTTTTAAACAGAACCTCGATTGCACAAGAAATAGCAGCAAGAATCAACAAATGGGATTGTACCAGACTAGACAGCTTCTGTACAGCACAAGAATCAATCAGTACAGTGATTCCCCTATAGAATGGGAAAAAAATTTACCAGCTACTCCTCAGACAAAGGACTAATATCAAGAGTATACAAATAACTAAAAAAGAAAAATTAAACCACCTAAAATTAAAGATTTTCTAGAAATGAGCAAGATAAACGAACAGACACTTCACAGTGGGAGAAATACAAATGATCCAGAAATACATGAAAAAATGTTGAACATCTCTGGGCATTAGAGAAATGAAAGTAAAACAACACTAAGATTCCATCTTCTCTGGAAAGAATGGCAATCATTAAAGAATCAAGTAATAACAAACACTGGCATGGCTGTGATGAAAAAGGAGCCCTCTTTCATTGTTGGTGGGAATGAAAACTAGTACAACCATTATGGAAGTTGGTTTGAGATTTCTCAAAGAATTGAAATTAGAAATTCCATATGATCTAGCTATTCCTCTGCTAGGTATCCTCCCCGAAAAGCTTAAGTAGTCATACTACAGTGCTCCATGCATACTGATGTTTACAGCAGCACAATTCATAATAGCTAACTCCTGGAAGCAGGCTGTATACCCATCACCTGATGACAGGATAAAGAAAATGTGGTATGTGTATATAATGGAATACTACTCTGCTATCAAGAATGACAAATTTGAGGTATTTGTAGGCAAATGCATGCACCTGAAAAATATAATGCTGAATGAAATAAACCAGACACATAAGCTTAAATACCATATGGTATCTCTCATTTGATTTTTCCCTTTTTTTTTTTTTTTTTCGTACCGGGAATCAAACTCAGGACTGTGCTGAGTTTGTGCACTTGCTAGGCAGGGGCTTGTGCCATTGAGCTATATCCCTGGCAGTATCTCTTATTTGAATGAGGCAAAGTAAAAACAAGGAAAATGATAAAGGATGGATAGAAAAGTATAAGGGGGTGGATCTATTACAATAGGGAAGTGGTCCAAGGGACGATGGGCAAGGGATGAGGAGGAGGTGAAGAGGAAAGAAGAATAAAGGTATGTCATGTACAGGAACCTAATAATCCTGATTAAAATGTAAGCATTACAGGCTATAACATGAGTTAAACCAAATAATATCCACAGGAATGAAAAATGGGATAGGTGAACTGGAGGAGGAGGGGAAGGAGGGGAGAGAAGGGAAAGGGAACAAAAAAGAAAGAAACACACTGTAATATGTACATGCAACCATTCCCCAAGATGATTGTAAGCTATATGATATGTAAAGATGCACAAACAAAATAAAAAATTAAAAAGTTTCAAACGTATTGATGATGTCTTGGCATTAATCTCCCTCACTTTGGGCACACTTGTCCCATTATTGCTGCTTTCTGGGGCAGATCGGGAAGTCCTCTTTTTGAGAGTATTTTTTTGAGCTATGGTCAAATGCTGCTGTAGGGTGTCATTCATCAGAAAAGAAGGCTCATAAAAATATTATGGTGTGTCCTCAGTTTACCCACTGGATCTGGCAGCCTGATTTGACTTTCTGGTTCTTCCCAAAGGTCAAAATGACCACAATAGGCAAATGTTTTGAATCAGTTTAGGGTATTGCAGCTATGACAGCCCAACTAAGTCACTCACAAATCAGGACTCTAGAACTGCTTCAGCGGGTGGTGGGAGTGGTTAAATGTGTTCAAGGCAAGAGGAAGCATTTTGAGCTGGATTGATGGCAATATGTATTTTACTGTAATAAAATTTTAAATTAAATACACCATATTTTTATCATGCCCCATAAGAAAGCATAAAAGACTATGTGATGAGGATAAGAATTTTTTTTCTTTGTAAGAGTCTTTTTGTCTATGCAGTATACTCTGAGTAACTACTTTTAAGATAATATACAGTGTCTTAACTATTATTATTCCTTTATTATTTTGTTAGGCAGTTTTTTCATAAAATAGAAAAATGAAAAAAAAAGAGAATGTGGGGTGGTCAAAAAAGAGGTAGGGAAAATGAATCAAAGTCTCAATGTGACCAAAGAAATATTGGAGTCCTTGTGTGGACAGAAAAAAATAGGAAGTAGTACACAGTGTGAAATTTTGTAGTAAGGAGTTTGGAGATAGTGACATTATTAGAGATTGTGAGGTCAAGAATACGACCAAAGAAGTGAAGCCTTGAAACTGAGTCACAAGGCTATCGATAGTAAAATCACTGAAAACAGTGACAGAAATCAAGATAGAGAGGAAAGCAGAGACCTTAAACTAGGAGTTTAAGGGGTCACCATTATGGCCAGCAGAGATATGTTTTAAGAGTGTTGTAGAAGAGGAAGGTGGGTAACAAGTCCAAAATGGAGTCCACCATTAAGCACTCATGGTATGAATGCCAGGAGGATTAACAAGGGCCTTGCAAAGGAACCGTTAGTTTAGGTAGTGGCAGCTTGATACTGTGGGAACTTTTGATTTTGCTTCAGGATGGTAGTGGCCAGTTGGGTAAAAGATGGCTTCATCTTTTCCCGACAACAAACAGGTTGTTCAAGCTAATTCTTTCTTTCTTGAAAAGTTCAAGTTGTCTGGTGAATGTGGTCCCAAGGAGTAGGACAGCCCTTCCCTGCTATGACTCTCAGTTGAACATGAGGATTGAGGATGACCGCTCTACTGTGCTCATGAAGGAAGGTAAGTATTAGCGTTTGGTTAAACAGGAGGATGAAGTACCAGTCTGCTATCCATGGAACAAAAAGGAAAAAGGGTGGAATTTCCAATTGGATTGGAATACAATGGTACATTGGTTTGTGAAATTAATTCTTTCCACTGTTCTGGTCCCAAACCAAATTGGATTAGAAGTGAATCAAATTCAATGGTTAGGTTTAATGTTTACCTTATGGGCACCTTATTTTACTTGGTCCTTGTCCAATTCAGTTTGCAACCAGAATCGTGGACAGAATTAAATTTGTGAACTAAGGTACCACTAGTGTAGTGTAAGACAGCAGAGAGGGTAAGAAGACATGATTTGTAACTAAACTGATACTACAGAAGCACACATTCAAAGCTAGAGATAGGTAACAGAATGTTAGAGTCATTAGGGAGTCTAAGAAATTTAAGTAAGGCTATTTGTCTATCCTTGTGCCAGATGCTTTAATGCATCATGTTATTACAAATCATGGTAAGATGAAATTTCTTTATTCTTTGTTAAAATTATGTATTTAATGGATTGTCAGTTTTTCATATGAATTTTGGGATTGGTGTGTCAATTTCTACACTAAGAATACACAGGCATGCAACCACACAAAAACAATGTGTAAATTTTCTGGAAATTGTATTGAGTTGATTGCCCAATTTACAGTTGATTAACATCTTTGCAATACTAGATGTTCCTGTTCACAAACATGATATCTGTTATTTAGTTGAGTCTTTTTCTGTGGCCTGCATTAGGTTTTAGAATTTCTATACAACAGGCCTTGTAAGTCCTCTTGCTTCCTGTTTTTTGATTTTTAAAATTATAATATTGAGGCTGGGGATTTAGCTCAGTTATAGGGCACTTGTCAGACATATGTGAGGTCCTGGGTTCAATCCCTAGCACCACCACCACCTACAACAACAACAACAAATTAAAATCTTGGGTTTGTCTTTTGTGCTGTGATTTTTCTAGATTATTATTTTGTCCTATAACCTTGCAGCGCTCTCATATTTCTTTTGGTTGTTTTTCTGTAGATCTATTTGGATTTTTATGATGATATATATTATATATGAATAAGGTTTTTGTTTTCTAAAAATAATCTAAAAATATTTTGTTTGAATGTTAAGTGGAATTTGGGGCTAAGAGGCCATCAATGATTAGGAAAAACAATTAGAATACTATTAGTAGATGAAATGTGTAATACGAATGTGATTTTATTGTGTAATAAGAAAGTTATATTTGGCTTTTGTCTCTGATTCTTGATATAAAGTTCCTAAATCTTTGGAAATTTCCTGAGTGATGGGAGTCTCTTGTGTTCTCTTAAGCGACCGCTGATGGGCTCCCAGTCATTTTTGGATAGGGATGGTCATTAGAAAAGCAAAATTATAATTTGAAGATTGAATCTTTCAGCCCTACATACCTTCCTACTGGAAGGGGCAAGAGGCTGGAGACCAACTTAATGACTCATCACGCATATGATATAAGTAAAGCGTGAGAAGGGCTTCTAGACTGGTGAACATATTTATGTCCTGGGAGCGTGGTATAATGCAGCTCCATGGGGACAGAACTTCTGTGTTTGGGACCCTTCACTTGAGGTACTTCACCTTATGTATCCCTTCATCTGGCTGTTTATCTGTATTGTTTGTAATATCCTGTATAATAAACCAATAAATGTAAGTCAGTGTTTTCCTGGGTTCAGTGAGCTGTTCTAGCAAATTATGGAACTCATGGCAGGGCAGGGGGAGTCATGGGAATTCTCCAATTGATAGCAGGTTGTTTAGAAATGTAGGTCACAACCTGGGATTTTGTGTGGCATATGAAGTTGGGGGCAGCCTCTTGTGGGGTTCAGCTTTTAAGCCATAGGGGTCTGTGTAAACTCCAGATAGCGAGCATTAGAACTAAATTAAATAAGAAGACATTCACTTGGTTTCTAAAGAGAAGCGAATTGCTTGATGTAGAAAATCCATACATTTGTGTCAGCAGTGTTATAAATGACAACATGTAGAAAACTAGCTTTTTCCTATACACATATAATTGTAGTGGTGGTGCATGTATATTATATATAATAGATAAAATAATGTGGTATCTTAGGAATAATAATGCCAGTTTATTCATGGCAGAAACAGCAGATAGATTAGAAACAATGAATAATTTCTATGAAAAAATGAAACACTAAAAGAGGATGAAATGAGATACTATTAACACAGTAAAAAGCCATAGCAAAAAGTATCTTTAGTATATCACACTTGCAAGTAGAAAAGATAGAGTGACAAAGAGTAAATTTGTAGCTATTTTAGGAAATATTTCTACTCCACTCTGTCAACGCATTTAGGTTGCACAACTTAAACATCAACTTCAACAAATACAAAACACTACTTCCAACACTCAATGAAGGTACAGACTTACCATTATATGTTGGATTCAAAACGAAGCCAAGTAATGCTACATCATTGGCACAGGGGCACTTTGTAATTCGGAGTTCTATCACATGTGGATATAACTCACTGATCTCTTTTAATGACATTTCATCTCCAAGGTTCCATTGAAGAATAGGTTCTGTGGAAATCAAAGCTAGATTTTAAATTGTGGCAGTATTCTTGAAAGTGAAACATTACCATATCCATTTAAAGATTTTCAGAGGAACTATGTAAAGGAACAATTATATTGCCCAAAAATGGAAGTAGTATGATCCATACTTCATCAATTAAAGATAAGTCAGTTTTTATTTCCTAGAAAAGAAATCAAATCAAATTCCCTTCATGGAACACTGGCAAGGTCACACTGCAGCACAGCATGTTGGATGGGAGATATTTGGAAAATACCATTTGCCTCAGGATCTATCCCTAGAGATGGAATCTCTGGATCACAAGATATGTACATTTTAATTTAGAGAACCACTTCTGCTTCAAGTGCGCACATTTCCTTTTTTTTTTTTTTTCTCCAATCCCTTTGAAACAACAGTAGATAAAAATAAGAATAAACTGAGAGTATCCACTGAGAACAGGGGAAGATGTCATTTGTGCCGAAAGACTTAGAAGGGTTTCTGGAAAACAGGAAGAAGATGGGAATGCACTAACACAAAAACAAACAACAGACAAAACAAAAAACAGGGATGAGACATATTCAACTCAGCATAGGCTGAAAAGTAGCACAATGAGAAGATTTTTTTACATGGAAAACAAGACCTTCTGGGTCTTGGCGTCTTTTTTAATTTCTCAGATTTACTTTTTCCCAAGTCTTTGAGTAGGTCCAGTTTTCTAGTCCCCATTTGGATGTCACCCTCTCTGGGAAGCCTCTCCTGACTACCTAGAGTGAATGAGGTTCCAAGAGAGCCTTGAACTTCACTAGAACTGAAAGAATGAAACCATATTCTTTCTCAACAGTCTGAGGTAATCAGACAAGGGTTTATGAATGTTAAAACTTAGAATATTATTTATGGATATTCAACAGGTTGGAGCTAAAGTGAAATTTTCATGCATAAAGTCAAATTTTCATGCATATTTTTTATCCTGAAAAAAATCTAAAACCATTGAAGAAAAAAATTTCTCATTCAGAAATTCTAGAAGAAAAAATTTTGCCTTCTGAAAAAAAATGAAAAAAGAAAGTATCAAAAGTAAACTGGGGCAATTTGAAAGAATGCTGCTGTCTGATTTTCAAAAAAAGTCAAAGGACTTTTAAGAACAGAGGTATTTAGTAATTAGCCCATTAGTTGTTTTTATTCTGTGGGAGACCACCCTGTTGATTATGCCCAAAGTAGGCTGTAAAGAGTGCAGGCTGTATAGAGTTAATCTTACAACTTGCTTGGTTTAAGTAGTGAGTCAGGTGAAGCCCTCTTGACTCATGACAGCACTGTGGATGGTGGGCAGATTAGCATTATCTCCCCACCAATGGCCATGGCAGAGACCAGAGATATGGTCCGTGAAGCTGTAGGGCTCTGATATGAGCTAACATGGCAGCTGAGGACAAGTGACTCTTCCCAAATTCCTTCCCCAGAATTGTAGTTTATTTTACTTGAAAAATGAGTTAGTAACACTGACCTATTCTGGTCTCTTCTGTGCTCAATGCAAGGATGTTTTGTTCCCTCCTTTACAAGCCCTGCCTGCATCAGTGTCTTATCCCCAGCAACCACACATGGTCTCCTCACTCCATTCTATAGATTGTACAACCAATAAATAATGTGGATATGGCTGTTTCAGGGTTCTTGCTCAGCACTAAGCACTGACAATCCCAGTTCCCTGTTTCACTTGTATCTTGTTTCTGAGTTTTTCTTTGCAGCCTTGCATTGTAGCACCAAATAGGGCATAGGAGTCCTTGCTGGTGTCCCCAACAATATTCTGCAGTGTAAACCTCTGTCTCTTCAAACATTCAGTTTCAGTCTGCTACAAACCCAAAGACTGCATGTGATTTTTAAAAAAATTTTGCATAAAGCAAAAAAGCAGTCAATTTTCTATTTGGGTTAACATAAGGTAGTCCAGATACAGTTGAGAAGGAACAGAAACACAGTATATAACTATACTACTCAGTAGTAAGTTTTTCAAGAATTCAAAGAAATTTAGAGAAAGGCAGTTAACTTTTCAGGGTGGAGTACAGGGAGATTAGAATTTGCATGTGGGACATGGTTGCAGTGAGTTGACAATGCCTCTTTATAATGTACAAACTCCTTAAAGTCAGATCCTGTACTTTAAACTTAAAAAGAACCAGGGAGTGGTTAAAAGTTTTGACTTTCAGATTTCTGATTCTTAAAAGCAGAAACCAGCTGGTACTTTAATAAGGAGCCTGGGAATAGCCAAATATCAGAACCAGTAGTATAATGACTATTTAATAATTAGGTCACTATTTTTAAAAATTTGGAAACTATGAAAAAAGTAAGTATAGTGTTTTTTCACTTTTGTTTCAGATATTTTACTTTATTGTGGTGGTGGGGATCCAACTTAGGACCTTGACATGCTAGGAAAACACTACCACAGAGCTAGACTCCCAGTCCTACATATTTAAATTTTGGTTAAAGAGACAAAACAATTCAGATAGTGTTGAAGATGTCTCTGCTGTTTTACATAGTTCTGTTAGCAAGTTACCACCAAATGCATGAAATTACTGTGTAGTCCATGTTTTTACATTTTTATTATAATATATATGTATGCATGAAGATTAGCAGTGTTTTGTGTGTTTTCTGAATTTTAGATAAATATTCTATTCTATCCTACAACTTGATTTTTTCACTCAGTATTTGGGTTCAGTTCTCAGTGCTATGTTTGGAACTATTTTCTTCATTTTAAAAGGACATACCAGGGGCTGGGAATTTAGCTCAGTGGCACAGTGCCTGCCTGGCAAGCACAAGGTTGTGAGTTCAATTCCCAGTACTGGAAAAAAGCCAAAACCAAAAAAAAAAGAAAAGCACATACAAATATATATTTGTTTTTCCCCTTACTTATGGCTAAATAGGTTGCTTCTAGTTATCTGATACAAATTTTACTTTATGAAATAGACTTGTGCATGTCTCTTGGGCACACATGATTCTCAATCTTCACTGTATATCAGAATCACTGCTGGAAGAACTTCTAAAACTACAGATGCCTGCCCCTACTTTATAAAGATCAGGTTTTAATTGGTAGATGGACAGATGAGACATCTTTACTTTTTTAAAGGTTGTCAAATGATTCTTTCTATAACATGTAATGCTTATTAAGTTTTATTCTGTATTCTACATAGCATCACATCAAAGTAGGACTAAAATAATAAAAACAAAAAGGAGGAGAGGAAATAGAAGATCTAGGACTGAAGATTTTTAAACATTTATGTTACAATTCTATAAGTGGCTCAAAAATTGGGCTATTATTTTTATCAGACAATTGAAAGAGAGAAGTCTAATTAGTTGTACCACTCTGTGTTCATGAACTTAAAGAAGCTAACCCTCAATAAATAATAAAAAAATATCTGTTCTAAGACAGAGCAAGTTTTTTTACAGGTTGTTGTCATGAAAAAGACTGTGGTGCAACGAGCAGTATCTAACTAAGATACATCAAAGATGCAAAAAAAGAAAATAGTTTTATGCAGTCATTGTTTAGAATGATCCCCAAAATGGTCACAATAAAAATATATTTCCATACTTCTCTAGCCCTCTATGTAGACCTCTAATAACAATTATCCACATGTATTTAATTCTTTGCTCCATCAGGTTTTGAGTTCTTCAAGGGTCATGATCATTTAGGATTTGGCAGAGAGTCTGGCATATAGTAGACACCAAAGTTTGTTGAAATAATATGTGAATTCCATTCTACGTTCATCTTCTGGAGTTTACCTCGAACAATATCCAGAAGAGTTCCTTCAGTAGCATAAATATTTAATCCTTGATGTAAAGTGATCTTTACTAACCACTCTTCTACAGAAGCAATATCTGAAAACAAAAGACAGTCAACTATTTTTATATATCATCTTGATGAAACTTAAGGATATGTGAACACCACCACCAACGATAATTTTTCCTTTCTCAACCATTTTTGCCACCTTTATATGTCGTTTCACATGTTTTTCCTACAAACATTTTATGATAAAATAATGAGAAAAAAATTGTGAAGTGATTTGGCCACCATAACAGTGAATTGACGTACTAATACTGTTTTTTAAAGAAAGTGATTTGTATTGGTACATTTTAGATTTACATGATTATCACATTCATCATAGGACATTTGTACCTGTATATGATATAACAATTCTTTTTTTCTCATTTGCCTACCTCCCTTCAGCCCCTTTTCACCTCTTTATTTACAAAAGCTTTGTTTCCATTTTTTCCTTCTTCTCTCATTTTACTTTTACTTTTCCCTTCCTTCCTTTCCCTTCCCCCTTTCCTTGTTCCCCTTCCCATTTGAACATTTTCTTCCTATTTCACAGTATCTATTATACATTTTGGTCCTTATTTACACTCTTAGTTTCTCACATGAGAAAAACAATGTGATATTTACACATGTGTGTATGATGTATTAAAATTAAGATTATCGTCTTAGGGTGTACCCATTTACCTGGAAATGTCTCAAGCTTATCCTTCTTTATGGCAGAGTAGCACTCCATTGCATAAAAAAAAAAGCCCACATCTTTTTTATCCATTCACTGGTTGATGGGCATTTGGGCTGTTTCCAAGATTTGGTTATTACAAACTTGCACACTAACATTTGAGATCATAATTTTTCTCCCAGAACTGTTGTAGCTCGGTAAGAAGCAGCTTATGACCTTCTTGTGAAATGGTATAATATTACTTAAAAATACCCATCAAAGAAAAGTTCATGACTGATGGCTTCACTGCTGAATTCTACCACATATTTGAGGGATACCTAATACAAATTCTTCTCAAACTATTCTAAAATATTGAAAAAATGGGAAATTTAAAACTCATTCTATAAAACCAAAATTACTGATACCAAAATCAGAAAAGAAAACTACAAAAAGGGAAATATCTCTGATTAAAATATATGTAAAAATTCTCAGCAAAATACTAGAAAGCTTAGTTCCATAGCACATTAAAAATACCATTCATCATAATCAAGTGTAATTCATCCCAAGAATGCAAGGATAGTTCAAGAGTAAAAAAGCAAATAACTCAATTAAAAATGGGCGAAAGATCTGACAAATACCACACATTCTCCCTAATATGTGAAATATAGAAAAGATGACAAGCAAATTCAAGGGGGACTATTATTAGACAAGAGGAAGGAAATATAAGGAAGGGGAGGAGGTAGGAAGGCAGATAATAGCGGGATAGATTATGAGCAAAATGTATTTATTGATATTATATCCCTCATATGAAACTAAGGGACAAAGTGGGTCAAGGGAGGATGATCATGATCAAAATATGTGATGAGCTTGTATGAGCCTGCCAAAATGAAACCCATTAATCTACAACGAATAAAAAAAGGAGAATGATAAAAATCTCCATATGGCTCCATGGGTTTCAGTTAAAACATTTGAAAATGGAGATAATAAGGGTACCTACCAAGAGTATACTTCCTATAGTGATAAATAAATGAGCTAATTTACATAAAGTCTTTCAAGCATGCAACTCAGTAAATTTGCAATTTAAAAATTGAGTACAGTTTTCAAAATGCATTCATTACAAAGAGTCACATAAAGTTCCAATAACAACATTTGTATTTAAAATGAGATGAGTAGCCCTCTCTCTTGCTTCCCAAATGCCACTAGGTGAGCAGCTTTGCTTCACCACAATCTTCCACCATGATGTATTGCCTTGTCACAACCCAGCAACAATGGAGCCAGCCCACTATTGACTGAAACTGCTGACACCATGAACCAAAATAAACTTTTCCTTGTTTAAGTTATTTTGTCATAATAATGGAAAGCTGACTATCACAGAAAGCTGATACTTTGAAGTGGATTGTTGCTGTGACTGTACCTGATCATGTGATTCAGGAGCCTTTGGAACTGGTTTGTGGGAGGAATTTGGAAAGATTTGGGGTTGCAAGCTACTGAAGCCCTAGATCAGTGATGGCAAACCTATATCATGTGTGCAACAGTGGCCCACAGAGCTCTCTCTGTTGGCATATGAGTCAAGGAACCCCAGCAGTTGAGCGTTGGGTGACTAAACTAAATCCCCAGTATTCAGGTTTAATTGCAGTGTTAGTACATTGCAATAAGTAAGTGGGTTTTGGGTTGCAGTTTGGGCCCTTGATCTCTAAAAGGTTTGCCATCACTACCCCAGGTTGTTGTAACCAGAATTTAACTGGTGATTCTAAACTGTGTGTGGTAGTGCATACCTGTAATCCCAGCATTCTGGGAGGCTGAGGCAGGGGGATTGCAAGTACAATCCCAGCTTGGGCAATTTTGCAATTTAGACCACTATGGCTTGTATCTAGATGTTCCTCCAAAGCCTTATATGGTCACAGGTGGGGCTTTGAAGAGGTGGCTGAATCTAAGGTGTGTGATGTTGGGATTAAGGGGGTGGCACTGGGATTAAGGTGTAATGCTGAGAAAGGGTTTGTGATTACTCAGTTAGTCCAATGATTGGTTTAGCATGGTTCTGGGTGTGAGTAATGGAAGCCTCATTTTGGGTGGGGGTGGCACCACCCAAAAGGTGGGTATAGCCTGGAAGGGTCAAAAAGGAGAGGCAGGCTGCTTTGCTGTCTTCTGCTTGCCCTAGCATGCTATATACTGTTTCTGCTCTGTAATGCCATGTCATTCTGTCTTGGAGCCAGCCAATTATGGACTGAATCCTCTATAAACAGTGAGCTGAAACAAACTTGTAGTGTTGGGTATTTTATCTCAGCAAATGAGAAAAATAACTAAGATAGAGACCTTGTCTCAAAATTTAAAAAATTAAAAAGGTGCTGTGGACATAGCTTAGTGAGAAGCCCCTGGGTTCAAAACTTAGTACCACCAAAATATACATATACATATATATGTATATATATAATCAGATGATTCTGGTAGGAGCTCAGAAGATCAGAATTCTGATGAGAAAGCAGACAGTAAAGACTGTCTTGATGAAGTTTCAGATGGAAATGAGGACTTTACTGAGAATTGGATTGGGGCTGTTTGTTGTATTTTGGCAAAGAATTTGTGTATGTTATTTTTT